GTTATCTATATCAATACATCTTTGCTTAAATAATGATATGAAGGTAGAGATATTTCCAACACTTTGACTGGCCCACACATTGCCAAAACCATAACTGTACAAAAGAGATTTCACCTTAAAAGCCCAACAATCTATACCTTTTTCAGCAAGACAATACTGATACTCATATACCTTATTTAAGATTACATTCTCAACTTGAGACAGGAGGCGAACCCAATATTTAACAATCTTAATGTACTGATTTACCTTTAATGAATGACGACCAATCTCAGCACGAGCTGCAATATTTGGCGTGTATCTTGAGAGACCCAAAACCTGTTTACAGAACCTATCGTGTACATTCAATACAGATGGCGACGGGTGGAAACCCCAGACTTCACTTCCGTATAGTAACAATGGCAAAACCTTGACATCAAATATGTGGAGCAAAACATTAATTGGTAGATTATAAAATTCTTAACCGATGATTTGAAAATATTCAACACCTTCCATGCTTGTTCAGCCAAAGTTTTCTGTGTAATATACCATGATCCAGAGGAAGAGAAGTGAACACCCAAGTATTTATATGATGCGACAATTTCAAGCAACTGTCCATTCAAATGGAACTTTTCATAATGTCTTAGTCGACCAGCCTTCCTGAATACAATAACTTTACTTTTATCAAGATTTATTTTCAATTTCCACTTGTTGCAATACGAAACTAGCTTGTCTAGCCTCTTTGCAGACCTATAACTGTAAAGTCAAAAGCGCAATATCATCAGCAAACAATAGGATGAACAGCTCAACTAAGTCTAGATTGATACCCTCTGACCATCAGCAGATAGACAATCAACAATATCGTTGACAAAGAAGGAAAAGAGAAAGGAGATAACTGGCATCCCTGACGAACTCCTGATAAACAATCAAAAACGGTGTGTAACCATCTCTCAACGACACACAAGCTTTTTAACATTTTGGTACATTTTACGCCACTTTCAGCAATATTCCAGCAATATCACGGCGTAAGGGGACACAAGAAATGGGCTTCACATATGTGGTGCTAAATGGGTAGTACCTCTTAGAGACACACGACGTGTCTGTCGAGGAACACAGGGTTTTTGGGGAACATGTTCCGTCATCAGTTTTTCTTTCTTCATTTATCTTGAGATGTAACAATCCAACCCTAAACTGAATAATTAGGATTATGATTTGTTTATGTTAGTAAATAGAAAAGTATTTGTCTGGTTGAAGACGACTCTTAGAAGTTTCATACAAATCGCATCTTTAACTATTTTCTAGAATGGAATACCTTTCTTTGGTAAAATATATTTATAGATTCTTCTTGAAATACTTTCAAAAATTGTTTAACATCACGAAGTGTTTCGGTTGACCATACAAAGCCGTAGCCATGAGAAAAGAACAGCTTTCTTATGTGCAATGTCCATGTTAGACTCCACTTTACTAATGTCATCTACACGTACAAGCATATTATAGGGGCAGTGGGGTAGCCTTGTGGTTAACGCGTCTGCTCGTGATGGTGATGACCTACGTTCGAATCAACATGGGTGCAATGTTTGAAGCCCATTTCTGGTGTTCCCCGCCGTGAATATTTCAAACAATATTTCAAGCATCTAATTTGGGAATTAAGGTATAACGGGTATATGCCGCACTCGACACAAACCATCTAAGTGGGTGTTGATTGACCAACCATTAAGCATGTGTTACAGGCTAAAAGATACAGCTTTTCGAAACAATCGTAACGCAGGACCCTCTATATTTCTGATCCATTTAACAAACGTGGTTGGATTTGGTCATGAAATAAAAAAAATTAAATTCTTTGTAAAAACCCATTCTTTTTCCGAGATAGACATCAAATTAATTTAGGCCTTCTGTAAATGAACGAGTGTTAGTGAGTTTAGTTTTAAGCCGCACTCAGCATTACTTCAGCTATATGGCGGCGGTCTGTAAATAATTGAGTCTGGAACAGACAATCCAGTGATCAATGCGATGTTAAACCCGAAACACTTTTCTTGTTCATTGTATGGGTGAATATTACATCAAGTTATGTATTAATCTTACAGCATTACCACATTTATCATGTATGGAAATTCAAAGGCAAGTGTTAACGATCGCTTTACCAGTTTGCACACCGCCTCTGTGGTGTAGTGGTTAGAGCGTCCGCCCGGGCAGTGGAGGATCGCGGGTTCGATCCCGCGTCATGCCAAAAGACGTTAAAATATGGTACTTGTTGGTCCCTGCCTGGCGCTCGGTATTAATGGGTACAACAAGGACTGTTCGGCACGGAGTCAGAATAATGAGTGGGGTATTCATGGTTAACTGCGGCATGATATCTCAGTGAGCTAGCACTATATAACCAGCTTAAGTCTGGGCTAGTACAAGCAGCCACACACACACGCATGCACGTTGCCATAAGAGCGAAATATAAGTACGACGTTAAACCCATTTCACCTCACCTCTACCAGTGTGCTCGGCGTTATATCCGGCGTCAGACAGGGGTGTCTATTGTCTCCGCCATCCTTCTGTATAGACATTAACGATTTCGCTGAAAAAATCAAAGGCTCAACTGTGGTATTGGATTGCACGCAATCACGTTGGGTACATAACTTTATCCTGAGGACATTGCATTGGCGGCACAGGACGACTTACCTTGGCGGTGGATCTTGGATTGTGTTGACAGTTGGTGTAGACGATTCCCACTCTATGAACATGAAAAATAATGTTGTAATTACCGCCCTTGTTTAATTAATAGATCTGTAGCATTTCTAAACTTGGTGACAGTATTATTGACAACAACAGTTCATCTTTGTCATTTCGGTTGTGCAATATCGTTTTAGTTTAAACGATACTTCTCATGATCATTTCTGCCACTCCTTTGAGAATATCGTGGGCGATGGGGTGAGTGGGTGAATTAGGTTTTACGCCGCACCCAGCAATATCCCAGCTATATGGTGGCGGTCTGTAAATAATCGAATCTGGACAAGACAATCCAGTGAGCAAAAGCATGAACATCGATCCAAGCAATTCAGAATCTGAGATACAATGACTTGTGTCAACCAAGTCTGGCCACCCGATCCCGTTAGTCGCCTCTTACGACAAGCATGGGTTGCTGAAGACGTTCACGGGATGATCACGGGTTGTACAATATCGTGGGCGATGGTATTGTTGAAATGTTAGCATTTCTCTTTACACTAAAGTCGGATTTGCCTTTCAGACCGAATGTTTGTATTTAGATTATCGTTAGCTTTGACGTATTTAGACAACAGAATTTCCTTGTCTTTGCGATCTCACATTCGTTAGTAAATCATACACCTGAAAAAAGTGAAGCAACCCTAACTATGTTGACCGTTAACACAACTGTGTTCAAATTGCTTGTGTATGAAGATACGTATTATGATGATATTCATTTAAGAAAACAATGCAAGTATACTTGATGGAAAGTGTCTCCCAAACACACAGTGTTGAGCATGTCCAGAATCAAACCTACGAAGTTTCACAAGTAGTGCAGTTCTTGCACTGGTATCGGATGGACTTGGTCAAGAACACATTGGTCTGATGAAAGCCGATTTCTTCTTCATGTAACGGATTGATGCTTGAGAAATACATCATTTGCAGCGGAAAATATTCAATCAACTGGCATTGGTGGAGGTTCCGGCATGGTGTAGGGATGTTTCTCATGACTGTAAACTTGACTTGGACGTGGGAATTTGACGAGTGATCCAGGAAAAGCTGGATTCAGTTGTTGTCCTACATTTCAATAATCATCCTCTTGCTACAAGACCTGTATTTATGGATGACAACTCTTGACCACGACGTTTTCGTGCAGTGACAGCTTTTATTCAGAATGATGCAGTCACTCGTCTTTGCGTGACCCGCCGACCGCCTCCGTGGTGTAGTGGTTAGAGCGTCCGCCCGGAGTGCGGAAGGTCGCGGGTTCGATCCCCGACCGGGTCATACCAAAAGACGTTAAAATATGGTACTTGTTGGTCCCTGCCTGGCGCTCGGCATTAATGGGTACAACAAGGACTGGTCGGCTCGGAGTCAGTATAATGTGTCTGAGTGGGGTATTCATGCTTCACTGCGGCATGGTATCTCAGTGGGCTAGCACTATAAAACCAGCTTCAGTCTGGGCTAGTACAAACAGCCGCACATACACATACACACGCATGCACGTCGTCATATGAGCCAAATATTCTCAAGCACGACGTTAAACCCAATTCCACCACCACCACCACCGTGACCCCGAGTCCACGCCTGAACCCCTTCAAGCACATTTGGGACTTAACGGGCGACGGATACAAACAAGAGTACCACCTGTTCAAAATCTGCGTGAGTTGAAAGCAGCTTTGCACCAAGAATGGCGACAGTTTCCTCTGCACCGGATACGGTGACTGACGTGGGGCGGGCGACGTAAGGTACAGGCAGGTATCCAAGCACCTAGAGGTTACACCAGATATTGATTGTACAACGTTCTCAGGTTACAAATAAACGTTTTTGTTTCATCACATACACGCCATGTTACCCGATCCTTCTGTTTCCATCCTTGAACCAGACAAGCAGTCTCGTCAAACCTGAAACACAAGTGTGGTAAATGATGGCTTTATATATGCACAGGTCATGACCAGCTGTTTTATCACCAGAACTGCCCTGTGAAGATTCGGGTTAGAATTGATCTTCATTAACCCATGCTTGTTGTAAGAGGCTACTAAGGGATCGGTGGTCAGGCTCGCTGACTTGGTTGACACATGTCATCTTATTCCAATTGCGTAGGTTGATGCTCATGATGGTGATCACTGGGTTGTCTGGTCCAGACTCTATTTTTACAGACTGACGCCATATACCGGGAATATTGCTGAGTGTGGCGTTAAACAACAAACCAATCAACCAATCACCAAAATATACACTGAATAGCTCACTTACCAATTCACAGAAGAACCAGCTGTAATTTGACTTCAACAAGCTGTGATGAAAGATATCAGAACAAACAGGACAAAGACAAACAGTTGTAGACCAATGTTTATTGAAATGAAAACGTACGGCAAATTTATCAACAGGTACAAATTAAACAGGTCAGATATCAAAATCAAGTATGCTTGTACCCAGTTGACTGGATAGATGTACATGAAGTTGGTGAGTTGGGTCTTCACAACTATGGGATGGAAGTGACATAAGATCGGCTTCAGTCATGTACCAAAGATGAATCAAACCTATACTCATGGCTTCATCCACAAGCACACCAGTACCTACCATACCGGACCCTTGCTGTTATCTCAGTCTGTGGTTGTCTTAAGACATACATCATCACCACCCTTCAGCTTACAAACACACCACTGGGAGGTCAACATTTTACCAGGCTTGTCCAGAATTACCTCAATGCTTCGATCACAAATGTTACTTTTAAATGAAATTTCATTCACACAAAGATTAAAGTATGAGTTATTCATAACAGAACTGCACTTGGAATGGCCTTGTGTACAGCATTGTATTTTGTCAACATCATATCATTACAACCTGTAACCAATCATCTCTGGGTCACATATCACGGCAATCTGTTACCAATCATCTCTGGGTCAACATGCAAGCTGTTGATAGCAAGAGAAAGTTTCAATGAATCAGGATACGATCACACATAATGAACCAGGTGAGTTCGTGACAAACTGATTTAGCAGACATCTTACAACACACAAGTTTCTGGGGACTATGTCCTACCCCTGAACCATGCTGTGTAGAGAAGAATACAAAGTATTACACCTGTTCTCCATTAGTATCCATACATGGCACTGTTAAACCATCTGACCATAATTGAGATACCTGATATTTCTGGGTAACTATTTACAAAATGAAAAGAGATGATGATGATAGTACATACATCCTATCATTGCTATTATACATATTAGCAAAATGTATTTGTAGTTGTCCATACTGAAAAAATATGTTTACTTTCATCAGCCCGCCATCTTTATTGTTAATTCATTATAATTTCCACTTTCACACAAATAGGGATATGACCATTCAGTATGTGATATTCACTGAAGATTTTCATCATTAACTTGCATCAAACCCTTTTAGCAGTTATATGTGAATACACATTATGTTATTGTCACTGAAAACCAATGTTATCAAAACATAAAAGCAAATATGATGTGGTGAAATGTCCAATAGAAATTATTGTTTATCTCTGTACAACGTGATTTGTGATGGCGCAAACATTTTTTCTTCTCAACTGCACTTATTGCCAGTGCTAGTCTAGTCTTGTTACCTCAGGATTCATTCCCAGACTCTCCCCCAGACTTGGCACTGCCTTCATCACCACTTCCTCTTTTTGAACCCTTCTCTGATCCTGAACGAGACCTTGAGCCAGATCTTGATCTTGATCGTGATCGTGACCTTGACTTTGATCTTGATCTTGAACGTGACCTGGAGCCTGATCTTGATCTTGATCCAGATCGTGACCTAGATCCAGATTTTGATCGTGAACGTGACCTTGAACCAGATCTAGATCTTGAGCCAGATCGAGACCTAGATCGTGACCTAGATCCTGATCGTGACCTGGATCCCGATCGAGATCGAGATCCTGAACGAGATCGAGATCCCGACCGTGACCGTGACCCAGACCTAGAGCGAGAACGTGATCTTGATCGTGAACCAGAACCGGATCTGGAACCAGAACGGGACCGTGATCGTGATTTTGATCCAGAGCCTGACCTTGACCTTGACCTTGAGCCAGACTTTGATCTGGACCTGGACCTATCTGAGCCAGACCCTGACTTGCCTCCTCCACCACTGTCACTGTCAGAGAGAATGCGTCTTCTCTTTCCACCACCACCCTCACCACTGCCACTACCACTGTCAAACGGAAAAGAATATGATAAGATTGTTTCAGAAAAAGATATCTCATTTTTCTTTCAGAATAGTTCACAGCACGATGTTTTCGTCACAGTGAAATAATGTAAACAGAATAATTTCAGTGGCTCAGGTGCTTATCGTTCCAATTACTAAGCATTACATAAAAGTCAGATTTAACCTGTTTACCTGAGATTATTGTACAGGAAAATGAAATGTAGCTTCCTGTCTGCATAGTATTTGATCATTTCATCAGATATATAAACTATGCTTTAGTTTTAATACCACATATACTGATATTGGTTTTCTATAATGAGTACGTGATTCAATTTAAATTTCCTGTTCTTTAACATGAGCTTAAAGATCTTAATGGTCATTAATGTTGACAATGTTTACATGCTTTCTTTGAAAACAGCAAAAGACATTACTACACTATTCTGTGATGACATCCTGCAATTTCCAGTGACGCTCAATAACTTATGAAATACTTCATTGAGTATGAAAGCTAATCATTTCCTCAACATTATTAAAGATTTCCTGGATATAGGTTTGTATTCAGACAGTCAGAGAAGTATATAATAATTTTAACATATGAAGTGTTATGCAAATTGTGAACATGAGTCTGCTTGAGTTTTTAACTCATCTATAGACTTTGAATATACTCACATCCGATTATACTCAGGTATTATATCATATCAACTGACCTGTCATCAATCTGGAGTTTCTTGCCCCCTTCAGAATCAGAGCCCTCACTGGACGAGATTATGGCCTTAGAAACGATCTTCTTCCTCTGCTTGGCTGTCAAACCGTCTTCATCTTCATCAACTTTCTTCTTCTTGTCCCTCCTCTTGGATTCCTTGGGCTCCCTCTGCTTCCTCTTCCGTGGTTTGCGTTCCTTCTTCCCGCCTTCATCTCCAGAATCATCAGAGTCTCTGTTGTGTTTGGATCTGAAAGAGACAGAATGTTGACATTTAACAAATGGCTTTTAAAACATATCAGTTGTACCAATGAGTCTGTCTCTTTAAACAAGTATGAGATAAAAGCTATATCCTAGAATGGCTCTGACAGCTGACATGAGGTATCAGCAATACCAATGTGTCTCTTAAAAGAAGCTTGAGATATTCCCTGTATCACAGTGGTTCTTACAGATGACATAAGGCATAAACTATACCACTGTGTGTGGCTCTTACAACAAGCATGACGTATCCACGATATCTCCTTGCCTGCTACTTAAAGCAAGAGGTATCAGCGCCACACTCAATTCCGACCACAAGCATCAGCTACCCATTTCATAAAAGTTGCTTGTTCTCCAAACAGATGAGGCATCACAGAACACTGTCATGCCTAGTCATAAAGACAAAATACATCACCATCCTTAATAACGGCTAGGCTGAAGATCCCACTGTGTTCTTTTTAAGCCAAACGCAGGACTGTATACTTGACAATGAAATCATAAGCTTTTCCTCACCGTCTCTTGTTCTTCTTCTTCCTCCTATTCTCCTGGTCCTCTTCTCCCTCTGAGCCACTGCTAGCATGTCGCTTCTTCTTCCTCTTGCGGGGCATTTCATCCTCACTTCCATCCGAGATGATGTCGCCATCATAATTCCTCTTGGATTTCTAGACAGCAGAGAAGATATTTTTTAAAATATGAACATGAAGGTTGGGTCATTTATCATAGCGACTGGGGGTTGTCAAATATGTTACATGAAATGGGGAGGTTGTAAGGCCAATCAAGATGGCTCACCCACTATCTTCCCATAATGACCAGCCAGAATGAGGACCCCTTGACTTTCATGCATAACATTAACACTGTTTACTAAGGCAGGCATTTACCACCTAGATGAGGGGTATGGCTCAGACAAACAAAGAATGTGACCCATGAAGATCCTGGTTAGAACCTTCAGTAACCCATGCTTGTCGTAAGAGGCAACTTATGGGATCAGATGGTCAAGCTCGCTGACTTGTTGGAACATGTCATCGTATCCCAATTGCATAGATCGATGCTCATGCTGTTGATCACTGGATTAAGAGACTGATTATTTACAGACCGCCGCCATAAAGCTGGAATGTGGTGCAGCGTAAAACTAAACTCACGAAGTATGTTCATCTTTAACAACAAACTAGCAAAGAAAAGAGGCAGTATCATGAAACCTTGTCAATATGGATTCAACATGGTTCCTAACAGTGTTCTTGTCAAATAATTTAAATCTAGGAACTCTCACCATCATAAATTTTGACATGTTTAACATTTCACAAAGTTCTTGATTTCATGAACAACACAACATCATATCATTAATTGTACAAGCAGAAAATGAGCTGTTTAACCCCACACTCAAACTACTATACTGTGTCAAGTAGTGAAGACATCCAGAGTTACCTACCCTGCCTCCACCTTTCTTTGGTTTCTCTTCCATCTCTGGCTCTGCAGCAATCTTCTTGGCCTTCTCCACAAACACAGCTCTCTGTTCAAACAGACGGCGCTCCACCTCCTCACGCATACGCTGCTTCTCATCCTGTAACACCACAACGAGGGTTGGTCAACATGTAAAAATGAAACATCATAGAAATAACAATCAATTTCTTTTAGCATGGAAACGGAACAAATCCAAGTGAAATAATCCAGCTGAACAAACTTCTTGATTTACAATGTGTACAGCTGAACATCCTATTTATCACTGTTTATAACACATAGTTTATATGATTAAAGCTTGGGACTTATGTTGTCTTGACTAACAGGGTGACACTGGGCCCAAAAAGAAGCATAATAAAATCTGCAAGTGTCAAACCAGTTTTCAAAATATGTGCCTGCACACAAATTTCATATCGGGCTCATGGTTTCGTATTTGTACAGGTCCCTTATGGCCTGAGTTAAATTTACATGTCAAAGATCCGGAAGAGTTTAGTCAGGGTCTGCAGCTTCAACAGTCTGTCAGTCCTGAAGACCGCTTAGCAATTTCTTTTATTTCAGTGTTCATAACCCTACAGCTGCCAGGCCTTAAACAGTTGTGGACATACCTCCTCCTGCCTCTGTCGGAGTCTGAGGGCCTCTCGCTCTTCCTCCTGCTTCTTCCTCAAGTCTCTTTCTTCCTCGTCTATCTTCCTTGCTCGAGCCACATGATACTGAGCCTGACTCAGCAGATCAGAGCATTGTCTGGAAACATCAGACACAAACTTTAAATATTGCAAGATCAATATATATATTTGAGTGAGTGGGTGTTTTATGCCCCACTCAGAAATATTCCAGCTATATGGTGGCGGTCTGTAAATAATTAAGTCTGGACCAGACTATCCAGTGATCAACAGCATGAGCATTGATCTACGCAATTGGGAAACCACCTCAGAAAAGGTAATGTCAAAGACAATATTTCTGTCCTGAGAAGTAATTAAAAGCATGTCCTGCATAATAACCCCACAAAATTCAATTCAATGTAAAAGTAGCCAAGAAAAGGTTGTGTTTGGTTAAAGCTAACCCCAATATTCCTGGGGTAACACAGCAACCTGTAAATAAACTGGACACACAAACCAGTGATTGACGTTCCACACAGAAGGGTGCAATGACACAAAAATAAACCAAGTCACATCGCCTTCCAATACACTGCATACAGTCGTCTAAGATGAGGTGGCCAGGGTCCCGTTGTACAAAACGATCTTAGCGCTGAGGTGACCGTAACTCCCATACCTTAGGATAGACTCATGGTAGTCTTAGTGCTAAGGTGACCGTAACTCCCATACCTTAGGATAGACTCATGGTAGTCTTAGCGTTAAGGTTGTTTTGTACAACAGCACCTAGGAACCTTTTCTACCCAGAATACCCCAGGGATCATTAGGGTCTGGGTGACGCATTACAAAGCTATCTTAGCTTTAAGGTGATCGTAACTCCCACACATTAACATAGACCTAAGACAGTCATACTCTAAGGTGGCTTTGTACAACAGCACCCTGATCACATTTCCCTTCGCCAAAGAACCGGGTTTGATTCCCCACATGGGTACAATGTGTGAAGCCCATTTCTGGTGTCCCCCGCCTGTGATGTTGCTGGAATATTGCTAAAAGTGACGTAAAACCAAACTCACTCACTCACACATTTCCCTGACAGGTAAACCTGGGTCGCTACCTCAAGGGGGATAATCTTTGTCCGACCTCTGTAACCATCTTGACTCACCTTGCTTCAGCTGCAGCCTGGTTCAGATCAAACTTCATCCTGTCTCCAAACTGCCCCAAGTAGCTGAAATACCTGCGAGTAAAAGATTTCATGGGTCAGTGACAGTCACTTTTGTACAAAGACATGACATCAACCACGTCACGAAACCTGCCTGTCTGATCTACTACGTCTCCACTGACACTGAGCATGCATCTCAAGAGAAGTTCTACACAAGGTCAATCAGAAGCAGGATCAAACTGGAAGTGAAAGAGAATCTGTAATAGACTCAGTAACGTCGATATTGGAAGAGCCAATGGAGACAGCTCTTTACCCAACATCGTACCGATAATTTGTATTTTTCTGAACCATGGCAATTTCCACATTGAACCAAGAGTTGAAAACAGTTCTCTGGTTTGTTTGTTGTCGGCAGTACTCCAGCTATCTGATTCCGCTAGCCATTATAAGGACAGTAGATAACAGATTCTGGACGAGACAAGCAACATCTCACGTCAACCAAGTCTGGCCGACTAACCATTCTTGTTGCATCTTGTCACTTGGGACCAGGTTTGGAGTTTACAGACTCACCTGTGAGCCAGCTCAAGGTCACGGACAGCACTGAGGACAGTCTTGAGGTTGCTCTTCTCATCCTTAAGGATCTGTGTTGCCAGCCTCTGCTGCACCAGCGAGATGTTAAACAGTAGAACGGTGTCGTGGGGAGCCACATGGCGGGCCTGAACACACAAACACAGAGTTGTCAGCATTACAGAAGAGTGTGAAATGATGTTTAGCCGATTTACTACAGATATACATCTGCAGCTGAACATGCAACAAACAATGAACAGATTCACAGACAATGACTCTCTTAGTATTAAGAATATACTCTTAACCTAAAATGCTGTCATCTAGGTGCCAGTGAGATGTTTTATAACAACTCCTCACAATTTTCTTGCTATATCAGGTTGGCACTACTCAAATCTGGGACAGTCAATCCTGTGCAGGTAGATCACGAAATAAGCTAAACAAGAAAACATGGTCATCAATATCCCCTGCCACAGTGTTCTGTTCCTATTTGGTTCCTGTTTTTGAACTCCACAACGACATTCATGTCCTCAAAACACATACCAAATTTGGTTTCCCTATTTAAAACGGTTTCTGAGAAAATCTGTCCCCATTGGAGATACCATACACTAAGTAAAAAAACTCTTAACAAGGGCCATAACTCTGTAACAAATTGTAACACAGTTTCCGTTTTCCAACTCCACCAAGTTATCCATGTCCTGAAAACTCATACCAAATTTGGTTTCCCTATCTGTAACAGTCTTCGGGAAAATCTGTCCCCATCATCTCGGATGGATGGGCGGACGAAGCTCAACCCAATATCCCATGACATGCACTATGTACATACTAGTATATTCGTTTAAAGCGAGTGAGTGAGTGAGTTTCGTTTTACGCCGCTTTTGGCAATATTCTAGTAACATCACGGCTGGGGACACCAGAAATGGGCTTCACACATTGCGTGACGAGCGAACGCTTTAACAACTAGGCTACCCCGCCGGCCCTATTCGTTTAAAGTACACTTTGAGAAAAAAAAGTCCAGCTGCTCAGCTACATCCTCTAACTGTGTATACCATAAAAACATCAAATCTATCTTTAATAAGTTGATGAGTTAGCCAATAGGTCAGTTAATCCATAAGGCCAGTTGTACAGTATCTGAAACAACAGTGGACAAGACCATGTGGGACTAGGAGTCTGGCAATTCGAGTAGTAATTCAACAAAGACTTTAAGTGTTGGTTTGATGTGGTAGGAAAGCCTGAAGAGATGTCGGTCTCAGACCCACAAGCACAATGCTTAAAGCTTAGATTCAACCAACAAAATAAACATAACTAAAACCCAATTGTCATTTATTTATGACATGTAATATACATCGCTGATTATGAAAAACCAAATAAACAAAATTATAAGCGTACAATCACAAATCAAAAGTGCGATATTTTGTACTTGGGTTTACTACCCTCGAAACGAAGCACCCAGGATACCGAACCCAGTCAGAGCGGGTGGGCATGCACTTAAGTGAAACGAAGGCTTTCCTTGGCTGGTTCTTTTGCTGATACTCTCAGGGTTCTTTGTGTGTGTATAGGCATCCCGGTTCAAGCCGCACGAACCTATTCACTGCGCATGCACTATGTGCGCAGCTCAGCACAGCTGTTTTCACCCCAGCTGGGTTTTTTTTCACTGAATCGTTTGAACTCCGGTTTTGCGGGATTGTTTTCATCGTGTTATTTTTTAACTTTATAAGTTGAATTTGCATTTCTTTTTTAAAGTGTTACTGTAAGTCCATACCGAAATGTATCAGAATCTGCAAAGTTGTGTTTTGAGTTGCATGTAAGCTTTTAAACCTGGAAGCATAATATGTGCAAAGCTAATCATTCAATCTCAAAATGTTGGGTTTCTTGCATGCCCAAGGGACAAAACTCTGCACAGTTAACTGCATGCTGATGAAATTGGTTGTTGCATAAAGCCGCACTCAGCAATATTCCAGGTAAATGGCGGCGGTCTGTAAATAATCGAGTCTGGTCCAGACAATCCAGTGATCAACAACATGAGCATATGAGCATCGATCAAAGCAAATGGGATACGATGACATGTGTCAACCAAGTAAGCAAGCCTGTCCACCTGATCCCGTTAGTCGCCTCTTACGACAAGCATGGGTTACTGAAGACCAACTCTAACCCGGGTCTTCACGGGTCACATGCTGTACCTTTGATATTCGAGCATTATTAATTTTTTTTTTTGCTAAAAGGACCTGAAGGCGGAAAGGAAGATACTGAGACCAGTCGATCACTGATATACAATCTTACCTTCAAGAGCACCTGTTTACATTCTGCCAGTTTTCCACACTTGAAGTAGGCTCGAGCTAGGTACACCATCACTTCTACATTGTGGTGTTTGAAGAACTTCTTCAGTGCATTCTCGTACTGAAACAAACAGTTACACTTCAGCACACAAATGGTACATTCAAGCATTTCATCTGGGCACAGGACTCATGGTTAATTTAAAACATTTTTTTAATCCAAATCATATAATCAATAATACATATTAGATGGTAAAATTACATGAGTTCACATTAGGGACCGTACACAATTTATGACTAGGGGGGTGATGATGATTTTTATGGCGAAGCATGTACAATGTGAATGTCACCCCACACCCCACCAAATTTATGCACTAAGTAAGTGCCCCCTCCCGGCATGTCATGTACAAAATCACCCACCTACCCCCACCCCCAACTCCCTTAAAGTTATCATCAATCCCTAGCCATGTGAACAGTCCCTTAACAACATGTATAAGTGAGCCAGCTGTAATAATAGTGCATATTTACAATGTGCACATATCCACGCTCGTAAACATGCTTCAGGCGCTAATACATTATTACCCCAGATAACCCAAGCTGCCTAGAAGTTTAACAGTCATATGACCTATCTCACCGGGTACCCATTTTCTGCTGGGTGAACAGAGGCAATTTTGAACAAACTAAGGTGAGATGACATGTATCACATGTGCTTCGTTGTGGGGCAGGACTGAAGTCCTAGAAACTCTCAGGAGTCAAGCTGCCAAACACCGAGAGCCCTCCGCACCCACCGTTGCTTAACTTCAACTGATTTGTGACCTGAACTCTATGCACAGGACCACACAGCACCACAGCATATAATTCCAATGTGGCTTTTGATACAGAGAGAGCTGACATGACCATTCCTGAGGCAGGTTCATATAGTTTAACTAATGTACAGCATTTGAGAATTAACATGTATTTAACCATGATAAAAGGGCATGTTTTACTATAGTTTTACTATACTTCATTGAATGCAATGTTAATATAGTGTGTTTAATACCTCTGAATAAAAGAATATACATCCTAATCATGCTAATAAAATGACAATTAGAAAAACAATTTTATCAAATTTGCATAACAATGGCACTTAATTTAGAATCATAGATAAATCCCTCAGATATACAAATGTGCATGACAAACAGTGGTGCCTAATAATTAATTCTGAGATGACTAAAAATGCAATATGTCAAGATACAATGGAGAGCACTTTCTTAAAGAAAGATAGGGACACTGTATTTTTCACATGAATTTCACTATTTCAGTTTATCCTCACCATCTGCACAGCTGCAACATACTGCTTCTGTTCCACGTAGATGTGAGCGATGTTGAGCCATACATCGCAGAAGTCGGCTGTGGCCTCGCGGACCTGGGCGAACACGTCCCTAGACTCATTGATACAACCCTTGTGTGCCAGCACACAACCTGAAACATAAAACACTCCCTGTTACAATGTCGCTAACCCACAGTCTGAAACATAAAACACTCCTTGTTACAATGTCGCTAACCCACAGTCTGAAACATAAAACACTACCCCTGTTACAATGTCGCTAACCCACAGTCTGAAACATAAAACACTCCCTGTTACAATGTCGCTAACCCACAGTCTGAAACATAAAACACTCCTTGTTACAATGTCGCTAACCCACAGTCTGAAACATAAAACACTAGCCCTGTTACAATGTCGCTAACCCACAGTCTGAAACTTAAAACACTCCCTGTTACAATGTCGCTAACCCACAGTCTGAAACATAAAACACTCCTTGTTACAATGTCGCTAACCCACAGTCTGAAACATAAAACACTCCCTGTTACAATGTCGCTAACCCACAGTCTGAAACATAAAACACTAGCCCTGTTACAATGTCGCTAACAAACAGCCTGAAACATAAAACACTCCTTGTTACAATGTCGCTAACCCACAGTCTGAAACATAAAACACTCCCTGTTACAATGTCGCTAACCCACAGTCTGAAACATAAAACACTCCTTGTTACACAATGTCGCTAACCCACAGTCTGAAACATAAAACACTCCTTGTTACAATGTCGCTAACCCACAGTCTGAAACATAAAACACTAGCCCTGTTACAATGTCGCTAACAAACAGCCTGAAACATAAAACACTCCTTGTTACAATGTCGCTTACCCACAGTCTGAAACATAAAACACTAGCCCTGTTACAATGTCGCTAACCCACAGTCTGAAACATAAAACACTCCTTGTTACAATGTCGCTAACCCACAGTCTGAAACATAAAACACTAGCCCTGTTACAATGTCGCTAACCCACAGTCTGAAACATAAAACACTCCCTGTTACAATGTCGCTAACCCACAGTCTGAAACATAAAACACTCCTTGTTACAATGTCGCTAACCCACAGTCTGAAACATAAAACACTAGCCCTGTTACAATGTCGCTAACCCACAGTCTGAAACTTAAAACACTCCCTGTTACAATGTCGCTAACCCACAGTCTGAAACATAAAACACTCCTTGTTACAATGTCGCTAACCCACAGTCTGAAACATAAAACACTCCCTGTTACAATGTCGCTAACCCACAGTCTGAAACATAAAACACTAGCCCTGTTACAATGTCGCTAACAAACAGCCTGAAACATAAAACACTCCTTGTTACAATGTCGCTAACCCACAGTCTGAAACATAAAACACTCCCTGTTACAATGTCGCTAACCCACAGTCTGAAACATAAAACACTCCTTGTTACAATGTCGCTAACCCACAGTCTGAAACATAAAACACTCCTTGTTACAATGTCGCTAACCCACAGTCTGAAACATAAAACACTAGCCCTGTTACAATGTCGCTAACAAACAGCCTGAAACATAAAACACTCCTTGTTACAATGTCGCTTACCCACAGTCTGAAACATAAAACACTAGCCCTGTTACAATGTCGCTAACAAACAGCCTGAAACATAAAACACTCCTTGTTACAATGTCGCTAACCCACAGTCTGAAACATAAAACACTCACTGTTACAATGTCGCTAACCCACAGACTGAAACATAAAACACTCCCTGTCATATGACGACGTGCATGCGTGTGTATGTGCGGCTGCTTGTACTAGGCCAGACTGAAGCTGGTTTTATAGTGCTAGCCCACTGAGATACCATGCCACAGTGAAGCATGAATACCCCACTCAGACACATTATACTGACTCCGAGCCGACCAGTCCTTGTTGTACCCATTAATGCCGAGCGCCAGGCAGGGACCAACAAGTACCATATTTTAACGTCTTTTTGGTAAGACGCGGTCAGGGGATCGAACCCGCGACCTTCCGCTCTCCCGGACGGACGCTCTAACCACTACACCACAGAGGCGGTAGATGGCATTGGAAACATTGTATTGAAATTATCTTCAGTCTCTCTAACGCCATTGTTAGCTAAGTTGTTTAACATCTCCATTCGCAATAAAACTTTCCCTTCATCTTGGAAACTAGCCTCCATAATTCCGCTACATTAGAAAGGCGATGAGCACAACTGTTCAAACAATAGGTCAATTGCGCTAACTAGCTGTGTCGCTAAGGCTTTTGGAAAAATGCGTTTTAAAATACGTCTTCAACTTCTTTAGAGATAACAATATTCTGTCAAACTTACAATCTACATTTATGCCTAGCGATTCTACAGTAAATCAATTAACTTATCTTTATAACTTCATCGCAGGTGCAGTAGATCAAGGAAAGGAAATTAGAGCCATATTTTGCAATATAAGTAAAGCCTTTGATAGAATTTGGCATAGGGGCATTATTCATAAACTTCATGCTTACGGTATAAAGGGGTGAACTCTTGGAATGGTTTGAAAGTTATCTAGATAGTAGAATGCAGAGAGTGGTAATAAATGGATACAGTTCAAATATTAAATTTATGGAAGCTGGCGTGCCCCAAGGTTCTGTTTTAGGACCGCTTTTGTTCATCATCTATATTAATGACATTGTGGAGGTATAGATAGTAACATCCATGTTTTTGCGGATGATACATTGATATATATGCTATAATAGATGATCATATTACAGTGGACGCAATTATAAACAATGATTTGGCAAAAATTTCAGATTGGGCTAAAAAGTGGCAAGTTAGCTTTAATCCTAGTAAGACTGAGAGTGTGACTTTCACTCGAAAAACGCAAATCTATGTCAGACCAAACTTATTCATGAATGGTGAAATTATTAAAGTGGATAGACCCGTGAAGATCCGGGGTAGAATAGGTCTTCAGCAACCCATGTGCTTGCCATAAAAAGGCGACTATCTTGTCGTAAGAGGCGACTAACGGGATCGGGTGGTCAGTTTCGCTGACTTGGTTGACACATGCCATCGGTTCCCAATTGCGCAGATCGATGCTCATACTGTTGATCACTGGATTGTCTGGTCCAGACTCGATTATTTACAGACCGCCGCCATATAGCTGGAATATTGCTGAGTGCGGCGTAAAACTAAACTCACTCACTCACTTAAAGTGGATAACCATAAACACTTAGGTATAACACTTCAAACCGATTGTTCTTGGAAAGTTCATATAGGTGACATGAAAAACAAAATTAGTCCAATGATCAATTGTCTGAGAAGTTTTAAATATCGTTTATCTCTCTTAGTAAAGTACAGATTCTAGTAACATGTATATCGATGTTCGATGTATATCGATGATATTGATGATCTATTGCGTACAAGTATGCTTGAACTTTTGTAAATACTCAATACATTTGTTCGATGGGACTCAACTCAAAAAGTACTAGAATCTGTACTTTACTAAGAAAGTGTAATCCCAAATATAACATATGTTACATTTCATCACTTTGTAAAATGGCATTGTGTATTTCATCGTTTATCTCGGAAAACGCTTAATACTTTATACAACTCCTTTATCTTACCACTTTTTGATTACTGCTGTCATATATGGGATAATTGTACGATTGAACAGGCGATTTTACTGGAAAATTTACATTTCGACGCCTTAAGAACTTTAAGCTGTGTGGTTCGTGGCACCAGTCACGATAAAATATACAGGGAAACTAATTATAGCACACTGAAAGAAAGACGACATCACTCTAAACTCATAAATTTCTATAAAATGTATCATCGTCTGACTCCTGATTATCTGAACGATCTTGTACCAGGTAGAGTACTTGAACAAAGTAACTATAATCTTAGAAATAGTACTTCCATCCAAACTATTAATTGTAGAACGCAAAGATATTATCAAACATTTTTACCAAGCGTGATTATGTCGAGGAATTTATTGCCCGATGGAGCTGTTGACGTTATTTTCCTGAATCAATTTAAAAGCTTGATAAACACAACAGAAACTCACAATTACTTTGATATGAATTTTGGAACTAGATTTTGTCAAATCATTCAATGTCGCCTCAAGCTCAGCTGTAGTGATCTAAATGCAGACAGATATAATCGACATATATCAGACACACCCAGGTGTTCATGTGGTTATTATAACGCAGATGTTATTCACTACCTTTTCACATGTCGGAACTATAAAAATTTAAGAACAACTGTGTATTTTTATATTCAAGGATACGATGTTAAAACTACTTCATATGGTAACGGCGCATTGAATAACTCAACTAAGAGTGACATGCTCAACTAATAGTGAAATGCGGCAGCCCATTTCGTTGCTAGGCATAAGCAACACCACAACAAACATATATGTTACTCAATCATATATCTGTTATTGTATTATTCATTTGTTGTCAATAATTTCATTTATGTATCCAGCGATTTGAACAATGTACTGGAGCGGTGTTAATATAAGCCACTGGGCTTGTTCGCCTATCCAGGTTTCTGCTTTGGCGAAATAAAAATATGATTAAACCAAAAAACTCCCTGTTACAATGTCGCTAACCCACAAACATAAATACAACGGGGAGGTGGGGTAGCCTTGTGGTAAAAGTGTTTGCTCAGCATGCCAGGACCTGTGTTTGATACCCCACATGGGTACAATGTGTGAAGCCCATTTCTGGTGTCCCCCGCCATCATATTGTTTGAATGTTGCTAAAAGAAGTACCAGTATAGCATGTAAAAATATAAGTGTTTGGTTTGACTTCGCACAAAGATTACATAAGCCTGACTCATCAACATAATCATTTGAATGGTTTAGGAGTAGGCTGACCTCTAACACGTCTAATAAAGAACTCTGAAGATCAATCTTGCTTGGACAATACACCACATAGAGCTCCATACACCTTTCACACAGACGGCAGCATCAGTTCAGTCTGTATTTCCTTGTTTTTGGAGACTGAGTTAAGAGCGAATATATTGCCAGTATATATACTGAAAATTATGTCACAAAGTAGAGTGTACATGAAATCATAAAACAATGGGAAAATTCTGTGTCTGTTATGGTTTTCATATATTTCCCCAGGGGACAAGATAGCAAGAAAACTATCATCATTT